AACAAGAGAGAAATTTCTAGCTAAACCTGCCCACAGTATTAGCCTTGTCATTAATTCGATTATTATTCACTTCATTAAATCACTGCTCAAAATGAAGCAATCAAAAGGACCCAAAAAATTTCGGCCGGCCATGAAAAGGTTGGATCGAAGGAATGAGCTTGGTCATACACTCTCTAACACCTTACATGATAAGCAATAGAGGAAGGTTGGCCCGAAAACTCTTAGACGACACGGATGAAAAAGAAGAGTATGAACTTCATTCAGCAGGGACGGAACTATGTGTAAACCAAGGGGGGCCATTGCCCCTCCCATGATTTTGATTTTTTTTAGTTATTGGCTTGTAATTTTTTTTTTGCCCCCTCCCTCCCAATTTTGTGTTTCTATAATAGTGAAGTAGTTCAAAATATATATGTTTATAGTTTATACTACACTTCCAATTTTTCAATACTTCATTGAAATATCATATCTATAAAAGCATTATATTCTTTAGGAGTAGTTATTTGGAAAATATTAAATCTATAATACTATACTTTGGAGAAGTAGTTATACTATACTAAATTATGATAATGTATTATGGAGCAGTATTGAAAATATTAGTTTTAAAGTGTCTAATATAAAATAATTATAAGAAAAATTGAGGTAATAATAAACTTAAAGAGAAGGAGTATATTCTGGAGTAGCATCCTTTCAAAAAAAAATTATGTAGTAGCATTTTGCCCCCCCTATCCTCACCTCTTGGCTCCGCCCTTGTCATTCAGAGATGGAGGAAGTAAGTGATGGAAACAAGCCTCCACCATTGGAATCATGGACTCGTGGTCTCCAGCTTCTTCTACTTGGCTACATAGCATTCGGAAACAGAGCGCCTGGAAACATAATGATGGATGATCACGGTTTGTACAACCCGTACTGGCTCATCATCCTCGCCAACCTATTTCTGAGCAACTGATCATACACCTAGTTGGGGCTTACCAGGTTTGCACTTATTGAGTCTTAGGACCATGACAAGGTGGCCCCACGTCCAGTTCATCACGGGAGAACATGTTGTTCATATCCCGCTTGTAGGCATAAGTATTAGGTTTAGTGTGTTTAGGATGGTTTGGAGGACATCATATGTTGTGCACTCTTGTGCTTACAATTAAGTGTGGTGGCGATGATATTTCCTTTTCTCAATGCTATTCTTGGTCTTCTTGGAGCTATCACGTTCTGGCCCCTCACCATATATTTACCCGTAGAGATGTACATTGCTCAGGATTTCTGAGATTCTCCTTTACATGGATTTGGTTGCAGGTATGAGTTTCTTCTGCTTGGCCATCTCAGTTCTTGCCGGATCCGTTCGCAATCTGACCCAATCTGTTATGCACTTTAAGCCATTTGAATAGAATTTAGGGAAAATGGAAATTAATAATTCAACCTTTTAGTGTTTTTCTTACAATAATCTCACCTTATCGTTATTCATGAATAATCTAACCTTTGCACCACATATATCTTCATTCGCTGGTCTCTAACCGGTTGATGACCTGCTATTTCAGGTTTTTTCAGTTTCTTTGTAAATCATTCAACAATAAATCCCACGGTTCACAAATCTTCTCCATGTGGTCCCACGTATCATTTTTCTTTTTCCTTCCTAAAACTTTTCTTTTTTTTTTATTTTTATCGTCTTGACTCTTTTATTCCCCTTTTTAATTTGGTCTTCTTATTCTTATTTTTATTACTTTTCAATTTCTTTCAATGTTTATGTATTCCATGTTTCCTTCTTTTTCTTCTTCTCGTTTATTATTTCATTTTCATTTTTATATATTCCTTCGGATTAGTTTCCTTATAGAAGATCTTTTTCTCACCGTACTAACATTTTTACTTTATTTTCTTTTTACTTACACTTATTTATTTCCTTTTTCCTTTTCTTACCTCTATTCTACCACTAATATATATTTGGGAAAACAGCCCCAAAATAGGACTAAATTAATCCCTAAATGCACAAATAGGACTATGTTATTTATCTTCCCAAAATAGGACTAAAGTACCGACTATCTTCTTATTCTACATTTCTACCCTTACCATAACTTAAAAGGATAATTATATTTTATATTATAATAAAAAAGAAAAAAACAAAATAAAAGGAGAGTTAAAACAATTTTTAAAAATAAAAAATAATAAATAGCGTAAAAAATTAATATAAGGAAAACTATAAAAGTAAATAAAACCAGATAAAAAATATATAAGAATGAAAATGAAATAATAAACGGGGGGAAGAAAAAAAGGAAAAATGGAATACATTAACATTGAAAAAAATAAAGAACAATTCAAAAGTAATAAAAATAAGAATAAGAAGACAAAAAGGGGAATAAATGAGTCAAGACGATAAAAATAAAAAAGGAATAGTTTTAGGAAGAATAAAGAAAAATGATACGTGGGACTGCTATGAGAAGATTTGTGAAAAGTTGGATTTATGGTTGAATGATTTGAAAAAAAAAACGAAAAAACTTGGAATAGCAGGTCATCAATCAGTCTGAGATCAACGAGTGAAGATGGGGTGCAAAGGTTGGATTATTCATGAATAACGATAAGATGGTATTATAGTAAGAAGACCGCTAAAATGTTGGATTATAAATTTCCATTTTCCCTAGAATTTAGCCACTTCCATTTACTAATGCTAAACATTTGATTTTGATATTGCAATGAAGATGTGTAAAAGATGAGTTTTATCTTATAAGGCATTGGAATATGCAATTGAGACAATAGATAATTTTATCTGTTCACTTACATCATTATTCATTATAGTTGTTTAAAACCCAGGAAGTCATAATTATTTACGTGCAGGCAAGTTATTGTTTATTATTGTTGGTGTTTTTGTAGTCACACAAAAAAAAATACAAGATTTTGTATTCTTCACTACAAAAAATACAAGATTTGTAACAGGGATTTTGTCACGGAAAATTGGAGCGGCAAGTATATCACGGAATAGTCACAAGAATGGAGTGTTTGTCAACGACAATCAATTTTCCACAGAATATTCGGTGATGAAGTTTGTCATGCTAGATACTGTGACTAATGCGTGACAAATTGTCAAGAATTGATGACCCGAGTGAAAGCTTGTCCGACCGTTCGAAATCCAGTAATATATTTTGTCATGGAAGTATTCTGTGATAAAATACCATGTACAAATATACCATTTCTATTTGGTCACTGAAATTTTCCTTGACCAAGTAAATTATTTAGATTGATCACAGGTAAAATTTCTTAAAGAGTGCGTTTATCAGGGTATAATTCGTGACAAATTGTCTCACTTTTAAAAACCCAAACAATTGTGTCATTCATGTTAGCAATGAAGTTTGTCAATGATATCCGTGGCATATTCATGATCAATTGATATTTTTCAAATTTGTCATAAATAGGGGCAGTATGAGTAAATTGTGACAAAAATTTGACTTCTCACATTTCGATGCTTCTTTACATTTGCATTCTGAGAGCAAATTATTTTGAATTTATCAAGACTTTGTCACGGACCATTCCGTGGTAAAGCGTTACCACTATCAACGCACATGTTCACCGAAGTGTTGCGCGATGCAATTGACACAGATTATTTCGTGAAATGTCCGTGATAAATTAAAAAAAATAGATTTGTCATGGAAGTTTCCGTTACAAATCGGATATCATATGAACGACCCTATGTATTTTTAGCATGTATTTCCAATCACATATTTTGAAGTTCGAGCACCGTACCTTTTATTAATATTCCATGTACGTATGTACATTTAATGAGTATTGAGTATTGATATGTTCTTAAGACGTTTAATACTTATGTGGGTATGTCACACATGTTTTAGGCTTTTAGCATGATTGTTACTATAAGTTGGTGTTGATTGTTACTACGGTTTGAGCATATATACTTCGGAGTACATATGAATTGAATGTGATAAGCATGTGTAAAGTGAAAGAAACTCAATATTGTAGAATTATAATCTTATGTTTCAATTAGTATCTTTAATTCTTTAAGTGTCCAACTTTAATTCATGAACCAAAACATCATATATATACGTTAACTAATCTAATTGGAATTCAATATTGTAGAAGGACATGTGGTCGATGACTCGATGGCGGATTGGAGTTAATAATCGTGATGGGCTACTATACTTTCGTCTTCTCCTAGTTTTCCTTTGGTGTTTGTTTTTTCCGGCAAGTGGCTTGTGCAGTACGTCGTCCGACAAATGGTTTGGAGCGATAGTAGGATGGTGGCCGTTATCACGTTTCTTCTCAATTGTCCAAGTCTAATATAATTGGATCTGATTTTATTAGTCGAAAATAAGTTCAAGTAAAAGCATTGTATAATCAAACTAATAATGGTTGAGATATAACCGTAATGATGGAGTGTGTATTAATTTAAGACGGAGTATATTAAAATCAATGTATATACTCCCTAAATGGGAGTATATGTTGATAATTAGATGAGACAAAATACTCTAAAAAGGAGTAAATAAAATAAAATCGTTAAAACAGAAGTAAAGTTTACATTTTTCCTAAATAGGAGTTATTATATGGAGTGTATATATATAGTTGCAGGAAGAAAATAACCCTTGGAGCATGGTCACCCATATTGTCGCAGCCAGGCCCCTGGCCACAGGCTCCACCGCAGATCTCTACTGGAGCTCACCCGTCAGTGTCGGACCCTCCACCAACGAACTGACTTTGATTATGTAAGGAATTAGAGGACAATTATTTAGAGTAGAAGTCCTGTTTAGGAATTTAAGCAACAACTACTCATATTTACAGCAATAATAATAACCATGGTTTGAAATAGCGGCCCGCTATATAGCGGTCGCGGTAGGGGCCGCTACCGCTACGTCCCGCTATTCGTGTGTGATTTCCAAATAACGGGAAAAATCCGCTACGACGCCCGCTACAGCCTGCTATTGACATTTCTGGCAGTACATCACGAACCGTTTGATGTGTAAGTGTGTAAATGCTGTGTGAATGATGTGAAAAAAATACATAATGGTGATGCATGGAGTAAAACTCAAAATTAAATGTTGTGTGAATGATGTGAAAAAAATACATTTATGTTTTGCGCAATTGAAAATATTTCACGCCGCTGCAACCGCTACACTCGGCTACATGCCGCTACAGGCCGCTACCGTGATCTACTGCTACGGCTATTTAAAACCTTGATAATAACTGCAATTAGTAAGGCCTCTCTCCAATATAATTGCCCGGAGGATAATAATTACACGTGATGAAGGTGGCAGACGTGTTTTCCAGCTTGTTCTTGTTGCACAGAGCCTTAGCGCATCCCACAAACCTCGTCTTCTGCCAAACCACCTGAGTGTAATGTCCACACATCTGCCCACCCGCGCAAGCATTTTGATTGTAGCTGTAGTATTTCTTCTCATCCACCCACATCTTCACCGCCTCCTCCGGGCTCATCTCGCCGCTGCACCAAGCCAGGTTCTCGCCGTAAATGTCGCTGCCGGAGTGGACAAGCTCGGAGCAGTCCACTCCGGGTCGGGACATTTTCCGAGCGTACTCTTCTGCGTAGGCCGCCACGGTCGTGTTCCATTTTAGTTTCCCGAGTGGGCCCCGTCCGCCGCTAAAGCGCTTGTTCACGTTATAGCGAGCGGTGTTGTGGGGTTTGAGGAAGTGCTCGCGGAACTCCGAGCTACTGCTGGGAGCATCTGCATTTCCGGCCGCCACATTTGTCCCCGACACCACTACTAGGACCAGTGTGAATAATGGTAGTGCAAAGAAACCTGCAGATATGGACATTTTTCTGATGGAATGCAAATGTATATACTCCTATATATGGAGTATGTAATTTTCCTTAATAAATAAATATATATAGTTCAGGACGAAGTACTGTGCTGCAATAACGCTAACCCCGGCGCATATCAAGGCACCCACCCCAAGCAAAGTCTTCTCTTTATTTATTGGAGTATCCAAACGAATAAAATCCATTAATACTTGTGTGCTCGTATAGTATATATATGACCCAGTCACTATAATAAGGAGTAATAAATGATAACTATTAATAAATGGTGCTCCTTATATAGGCACTCAAATACAAAGGATAACTATTAGAATTTGAATTGCAGATATCTAATTCTACATATTCTCTAACTAACAGATAGCTTAACAAACTGATAAGATTAGTTCAAAATTCAAATAATCTGAATTTAATGTAATTCTAATTATTCTCTAACAGTCGCTACTTCTAAAAAAGTTTCTCCTATTGACTTTTCTTAATCTTGACGAACTTTTTGTGAACGGATGACAGCATCATTTACGAGGAAGATTTGATACATGGGGATGGTTGGATTTAGTCTGGTTCAAAGCGAGCATTTAGATCATGAGACCAAACATAAATTTTTGGCGACACTGCGCTAAAGAGTGTTGGCTTTGTGATGGAGATTCAAATACTCATTTTTTTCATAATGCTGTCCAGAAACGCCGGAGGAGTAAAAAAATCTAAGGATTAAAACGGGAGAATGGTGTTTGGGAGAGTGACAGGGAGAGAAGCTAGCTAGTATTATTGGTGATCATTTTTTTTCTGGAATTTTTGGAAGTATCACACGTTGCCTGAATGATGATCATAATGCTCATTTACTGCGGCCTATTCAGAAGAGGAGGTCAATGAGGCTCTTTCCTTCATGTACCCGGATAAATCTCCAGAACCGGACATCATGAGCCCAACACTCTTGGGATGTCACTGGACCGACTATTGTTGAGTTTGCACTTCTGTAGGTCGGTTTTCTTGTCAGGTAGCTTCCAAAGGGTATTAATCACACTCATATTGTTCTCATTCCCAAAAACAATCAACAAAAAAACCTGAGTGATTGGACGCCTATTGCTCTGATCTATGCAATACATGCGTTGTATAAAGCTTTTGCAAAGTTATTAGCAAATCGCATGAAAGGCTTATTAAATATTTGTGTGTCTGAACAACAAAGTGCATTTATTCCGAGTAGGTGTATTGTTGACAACATTATGATTGCCTTTGAATCTCAAGCTTTTTTGAAACGTAAGCGAAAAGGGAAGACTGGTTATGCCGCGTTGGAGTTAGACGTGAGCAAAGATTATGACCGGGTGGAATGACTTTTCAAGAGGGCCTTCTTTGATAGATGGGCTTCACGGAGAAACGAGTTCAACTGGTTATGGAGTGTGTGAGCTCTATTACCTATTCTATCCCCTTCGATAACGGAGAAATTGGGCTCATTTATCTTACAAGGGGATTGAGGTAGTCTTAGACTCGGGTTGGGCCGCCCGGCCCGGGACCGGTACTGTTTGGGTTCGGCCCGGCCCGGTGACCCGCTACAGCCCGGTTCGGGTAGGCCCGGCCCACTGGTTAGGGAAGGGCGTGCTCGGTCATCTTAAAATGGAAGCGGCCCGACCGGGCCGGGCCCAGTTCGGGCTTTATTATTATTATTATTATTATTATTTATTTTTCGATTCTTTCCTAAAACCCGGGTTGGGCTGGGTATTTTGGGTGGTTTGGGGGGGTGGGGGTGAGGGGGGTCGGGGGTTAATTAGAAAAAGGAAAAAAAATACAAAGTGGCCCGAGGACCGACCCGACCCGGACTTGACGGCAACCCGGGCTGGTCCCGGGCCTTCCCCCAAACACAAAAGGCCTGACCGGGCCTAGGCCTAGCCCGGGCCCGACCCGGCCCGGCTCCATGCCTAGATTGAGGCAAGGGGATCCTCTCTCTCTCCATATCTCTTTATATATTCTGGCGGCAGAGGGTCTTGGTGCTCTTCTCTAAAGGCAAGAGTAGTTGGGGAGCATTCATGAAGTTTCGGTGGCTAGGAGGGCTTCGAGGATCTCACATCTTTTAGTTGTCAATGACAATTTGCTATTCTTTCCGGCAAATCATAGTGAGGCGTCAACAATCAAAGAGACTTTGGAAGGTTATGAGCTGACTTTAGGTCAGGTTGTTAATTTTCATAAGTCTAAATTATTTTTTGGCGCCAATGTGTCTGCGAAGTGTAGGGTTGGCTTGACTGAGATGCTCAAAGTTAATTTAGCTGCCCCTCACATTAATTCCTGAGTACGCCACGTGCTCTTACCACTACTCCGGACTTTATAGTTATACTACTTCGTACATATTAAAATTTAGGGGGAGGGGGGGCATATAAAGGTTCAATAAAAGATGTTTGGTGTTTAGCATACTGAACGAAAACGGATGAATTTATGTGTTAATAGTCACTGTCGTCTTCGTCAATGGAGTGCCCAATATCTAGATTTCTTGAGAATTTTCAGTTTATGTATAAAAAACATATTTAACAGACGACTTGAAAAACGACTTCAATAGCATATATGCACGTCATAACACAAGTGATGTGTTTCGACACTATAAAGTATAATTAATAGTGTCAATTATTGCGTGTAGTATGATGACTTCATTTTTGAGCAAGCTACCGTAGATAAGAAGAGATCGATGTCTAAGAGATAATATCCAATCGTCAGATTGCAACTTGGATATGGAGCAAGCTGTCATAGAAGAAAGCAGTCGGAGATCGAAGAAAAAGGAAACATTGTGGCCGTTCTGATGCAGCAGTAAGCACTCTAACTTATTAAGATATATGCATTTTGATGGATGCTAAATTTGGAGAACAACATGAAGTGCATGGATAACTCAAGTGCATTATGATTATAAATACCGTATTCTTCATCTTTTCATCTGGCCCATTCTGTTTACAAAATTTGATAAACTTAATGCAATGTTCGTGATACGGCTGAAATGTGGACAACTGAAAGATCATGTACGAATTTAAAGAGATAAGAAAGTTGCCATATAGAAAAAATAAGAACCATGAGCAACTCCGCAGCAACTTGTATTACTCTTGATGACCCAAAAACCGATCCTGTCCTTGGTTAATTGCGTACCTTTAATCGCCGTCCAAGCTACAAATATAAATCTGATAAAATGGATCTAGACTAAGCAAAGCACATGACCTGATCACCTGAAATGTGAAAGTGGTCATAAGCTGGTCTAGTTCCATGTGTAGACTGTAGTGCCTCTGAATCATTTACAAACCACCTGAGTAGCCCCAATTACGGTTTGCCTGTTTTACAATTCTTTCGGCTTTCGAGCAACCCAAAAGAGGTTTAATTTATTAATTTTTTTTTATTGTAATTTCTGAGTTCCATTTTAATCTTAAGTCTTTACTTTTTTTGTCCTTACGAAAAAAGAATTTTTTGGTTTTCCTTCTTGGTATCTTTGATGGCATGAAAAGGGAAGGGGAACTGGGAAAGTATAATTAGAAATGTCAATAAAGGTCAGCCCAGACCTAGCTCAATAAAGCTAAGCCAAAGTAACGCTTAGCCATACTACACATATTATTCAATGAATTAATAATGAATGAGTTAATAAAATATGCAAGCACAAATATCCAACCAATGACTAATGATTATGGTAAGGAGAAAACTAGCAGGGTAGGATACTAAAGTTTGCATATAATAACCATCCCGTTGTAAGTTGTAACACTGGAAAGCTGGGCTGAATAGACCGGAGCGACACAGCACAGTGAAAAGTCCATCCGACATTTGAACAGGATAGAAAATATGAACACAGCAGGAAGTATATGCAAAGAGGTTTTCTTAAAATTGATGCTTGAGTTTTATATTTCCAACGCCTTCAATTTACCTCGCTCAAAGCACTGTAGAAAAAACCATAGTAATATACACCATTAAATCGAACAAATAGGCAGGCCAGGATTGATTTGAGCGAACCCGTACAAACTTTTGCGAAGGACTAAAACAAACTGGATAAGGCCAACTCCAACCTAGGGTTGGTTCGGTACGGTATACCTTATATTTTTTCTCATACCTTTGCCGTACCAAAATTTTCGGTATGCAAAATTTGCATACCTTTACCTTACCGAAGTTTCGGTATACCGCATTTCGGTATACCGAAGTTTTGGTTCGGTAACGGTACGGTATCGGTAAATTACCGTGCATGTCTCCCAATACAAAAAATTATCATAGACTAACGAAATATATTAAATCGTTATTACTAGTGACATGTTAAATCTATTATTAAAATGTTACAAAATACAATTAATAATCTATTGATGTCAATTCAATATTGAACAATAATTATTATTATTGTTAGTATATTTAAGCAGTTCAACATTCCGCATATTAAAAAGTAACACATTCTCCTAAAATAACTTGAACAATATAGATATAATTAAATCAACAGTGATCTCTAACAAAAATAAATAAAACTATTCAAACAACATGGATATAAAATCATTTATTTCTAATATGATATTGTGTATTTAGTCATTTTTATAATTTTTTAAAATTTGAATAAGACTTTCGGATAAAGTTGTGTGTCTCGACTCGCGGAATCCCTATGTAGATACACTTGTCACATAAGTGTATCTCTCTTCACTTGTCAGCTACTTAGCGGCTCAACCATCACGACTTGCAAGATCTTGGAACAAGATGGACTTGTTTCTTGACATTTGCACATTAGTCATTAGTCATTAAGGTTAGCGTAGTAGAAGCCTATAAGGTTATAGTGGGTTTGAGAAATTGGGCCTTTATTTTTGTATTTTTGTATTTTTGTATTTGTAACCAACTTAAGTATTAATTTTGGACCCTCGAAAAAAAAGTATTAATTTTGGGCTTCAAAATTGTAATGGATTTCTACAATATACTATCCTCCGTTCTATAATTCTTGCAACAGTTTGACTTTCATGTTTGCCAATGCACAACTTTGATTGTAATTATATTTAATTATGTATTAGTAAACATTATAAAAAGTTGATATTTTGGAAATTCACATTGATAAGAGTTCAATAACATTTTATGCGTAATAATTTGATTATGTTTATTAGTAGAAAATCATGGTCAAAGTACGATCTGTGAATAGTGTAAAAATCACAATGTTGCAGGAATTATAGAACGGAAGAAGTATTAGAATTAAAAGTAATTGTTGAGTAGGGAGTCGGTACGGTATTATACCGGTATACCGCGGTATTTGAAAACATTTACCGTTACCGTACCGAAATAGATCGGTACGGTATGATACCGTACTGAAAATGACGGTATACCAATATTTCGGTATTTTCCGGTATTTTTCGGTACGGTAAGTGCGGTATACCGATATTTCGGTATTTTTGCCCACCCCTACTCCAACCCCCGTTGGAAACACACCCATATACACGGGTCCAAAACATCACAACAAAACAAGTCAATCAACGCAAACATACATCTATGTTGACATGTAATTTATCAAACAACGGTGGGATTAAAGAACTCACAAACTATCAGGGGACAAAGTCAGCCGCAGAATAATCCTTCAAGCAAAATATTACGCACAGAAGACAAAGCAATCAAAGAACCGGGAGAACACCAGGCTCCAAAATGTCATGATCACAAGATGGGCAGCACCACAGCAGAAATGCAAAAGACACAGCTAAAATGCCCAGAAAATCAGCAGCCATACAAAAGGGAAAAATAAGAAGGCACAACAACCAAACTATAACAAAAAAATGAAACGCCCCAACCCTTTTCACACCCACCATAAATGGAAACCCAACAATCTGTCCATAGAAGCATAACACGCCCCTGCACTCCAAAATAGATAAACCCAGTAATATAGTTCCTCTATTTTCTCAAGCAACACATTTGACTTTTTGGAAATTAGAAACAAAAAACACAAAGAATTTTAAAATTTAGCAGCAGCAAAACACACAAGGGAAACACCCAAGAGAGCATGAAACGTACAGGAGTTCGGAAAGCACACCAAATCAACCAAAAAGGGAAAACGAATCTCACAATTCTTTTGCAAAAGGTCCGGGCATTATGTACAAAGGGGAAAACAGGTTCAAATTTCTTAAACAACAGGTCTAGGCATTTCATTTGAGAAGAAGAAAGGCGAGAGAAAAAAGAAATGCCAAAATCGAAACAAACTCGAGAGAACTTACAAGTTCTGAAAACCGACGCGAGAGCAACACAGGGAAGGAACGAACGAAGCTGAAACTGAATGGATGAAAGAAATGGAGAGAAATTACCTCACTTGTATGCAGGGGCGGAGTCAGACTTTAGTATGAGGGGGGCGAGAATATAATATATAGAGCATGAATTAAAATATAAATACGGAGTACAAAATATGAAAAAACATAGTCACACTAGATGATACGATATACTAATGTTTATTTATAATATTAAAACGTACAATGTTAATAAATAGCAAAAGCATTTAAATTTAGAACGCCTTTTAATGCATGTCATGAATCTCATAATTCAAAGGATTAGTACTTAATGAAAGATTAGTCTAAGATTTAAATCTTTTAGAATCTTTACTTTTAAAGAGTGCATGAATATCACATAAATAATTTATAGTCAAAACTAGTAAAAACTAAAAAACTTAGGTAAACACAATAGAAAATAGTCACATAACGACTTAATACTATTCACCAATGTTTTATATCATGTTAATTAATTGATAACAAGTTAACAAATTAACCAATTATTTCTCATAATATAAAGAAGAAAGTTCAGCTACCTAACTTGCATGTTTATAAATTATAATGTTAAAGGTCAAAAGAAGGAAGCATAAGACTTAAAATCCTTAGGTAGACTGAAGGACTGTATCACTGTATGTCTCCTTGTAATTTCTAACCTTTAAGCCCTCCACAACTTAGATAGCAACAGTGTGGTTTTGTTACTTAGGCTTTAAATTTGTCTCTAAAAAAGTAGGGCACGAGGAGATGTAAACCATAGTTTGGGCCAGTTTTTAAATTGCCCTTTTAATTAGGACTAATGTTCTGGATCTAAAAATCAAGTTGCAAATGATGCACAATTGTTTATACAAGTACTAAGGATTTCTTCCCCAGGTTTTGAATAACAATATTTGGAGGGGGCCAAAAAAATTATCATACTACTACTAATTAAAAAACATAATGGGAGGGGCCATGGCCCCCTTAGCTATGAGAGTAGTTCCGCCCCTGCTTGTAAGAGACAAGCTTCTGTCCAACCCATCAGCACCTGTACCCTCCAATGAACAAGGACACACACATGACCTGACCACACTTTCACCAGGCTAACAAGCAACATCGAACCTCTCGGTAAGCGAACGAATGAAAACAAACGGATTGTTCGCAGGGCTCTTTGGCGGGAAAACAAAGGGAGCCCCGTTTCGTTTTGGAGCCTGTTGTAACGGGCGTAGGACCAATCTGACGTCCTTCCACATTTTACATATATAAGAGATGTATATATAGATAGTATTAAAATTTGTCAAGAATGATGAAATAGGGAAAATGTCAGCCTTTTCTTCAGAATACAAGTGCTTATAATCACCCGTATTACTATTATGGGAGGCCACTGCGACTTCTGGTGCAGCAGCCCACTGGGAGATGGAAGACATGGGTAATGAAGCAGAGCAGGTTGTCCCGGGGGCGGTTTCGTCCTCGTGGTAAAGGGTGGCAGCAAAACCCAACTTGAGGGGAGAGCAAGTGTGGAAGCGGCGAGGGGATGTGAGATAAACGTGGCCGGCGGTGATATCTCCGTGCGGGATGTGCTGCTGATGAAGGAAGTCAAGAGCATTCAGAATTGATCTGAGCACACAGAGAATGAGATCCTCCCGGCCCTGAAACCCGCCGCCGCGTTTTCTCATGATGTTCCTAACAGAGCCACAGTCGGGCATCAGGACAGCAGCGAAGTACTTAGAGTTCTTCCCGGCCTCATGAGAAGCGGCGCGGACAAGCGAATCATCCCGGATCCCTAACAAATTGGGGTGCCGGCTTTTGACGCCGCAGCTTCTTCTGACTTCATTCCTGAGCATTGAGATGGAGTGTGGATTATCAGCCACCTTGACAGCAAGCGGCTCATTCCACACCATTGTTCCGTGGCTTCTTCCTAAAGTCAACTCTTTGATTGTGGTTTCAACCACAGTAGCTTTGTACACCGTTAAGCCGGGTTTGCGGCCAATCGTGCCTTTGGCGACGTAAGCCTTTACGCGCGTAATCCCCGGCTGCGAAGTGCGAGATTCAAACAGCTTGATTTCTTCAGTGCCTTGCTTCATACGTATGCGGGTTTCCACCCCCACCACACCGCCGCCGGGGAGAGGTAAATCCGACCTTGCGTGCACCGGGCTATGCTCATCATCATCATCCATCTTCGATTGATCGTTCCGATCCATAGGTAGGTAGGGTTTTTTTCAATTCAATTATTCACGGTGCCTCTCCCTCATCTGTGTATATATATATACACACACAGTCTTTGACTTGTGGGATCGCGTTTTACCCAAACAAGTACCAGTTTGGTTTGGTTTCGGACAGGTAGTTCGAGAGTCCTACGTAAGTACAACTGCTCAACATACGGAGTAAGATTTTGTTTCCAAAAAGGCATAACTGTTAAATAGATCTCGAACTTTCATAAAAAGGTTAATTAAGTCCATCTATAGGAGGTTCTGTCCAGCCGTCGTGATTTGGGGCAGTTCCCGGTGAAATTTTTTTATGAATTTTTTTGAGCAACTTATTCACCAAGTCTAGTTACTCATGCCAAATTTCAACTAAAAATTCAATCGGGAACGCATTCAAATTAATTCTTGAAGATAACTGCGCATTTTTGCGTTCTCGAATTTATGTAAATGCGCTCCCGATTAAATTTTTAGCTGAAATTCGGTATGAATAAATTAGACTTGATGAATAAGATGCTTAAAAAAATTCATAAAAAATTTCCACCGGGAACCGCCCCAAATCGCGACGACCGGACAGAGTCTCCGATAGAAGGACTTAATTGATTTTTTTATGAAAGTTCGATGACCTATTTGACAGTTTTCCCTTTCCAAAATAATCTTATTTCCGAGTTTTTTTCGCCAAACCAAAAACTACTTACCAAATTAGTATTGGGTTGATTATATTTACCACCTGATAGAACCATAGAAAAGAAATAGCTCATAAAATTACCATTTTGTCCTTCATTAATCCTACGTGTAGCTCAACCCAAGTTTTTCTCCTTTCACGTTCTGCTGCCACGTGGTTCCCTCACGTTCTTTCTCCTCGCAAACTGCAGAAACTTCACGCCCCTATCCTTTCCCTCTTCTCTGCTCTCACCAAATTTCCAGCCTGATTTTTCTCACTTCATCCGCAGCTATGATATGCGAAGACCTCCAAATAATACCATGTACAAGACCATCAGGTCTACAATCTACTTGCTCTCAATCTATGACATTACCGAACTTTGTGCTATTGCCGCTCTGGGTACGCTGTCTCTTCTCTTATTCCATGTTCTTTTATTGTTGATCAATTTAGTTTTCAAATTTTACGAGAGTTTTGGGTACACCAAAGCATAATGTGTTCGATGAAATGTAAATATGAAAAAAGATTAGTTTTTAACTTTATATAGCTCAATTTTGCCTTTTGGTTTAGATTATATATTCTCCTCATTCCCTATTCCTCATTTTAACATTCTTGATGCCTTGATGGTTTCATTTCTCCAACTTATCATAGTATATATTCTTATTTATGAAAGTCTATGAGCATTTGATTCTTTTTAATTACTTTAAAACCTTAAACGGCTCTCTTAAGTGGTGATATCTAAGGGTGGGTTTTGAGTTATTGGAGTGTATCTTGGCAACAAGGTATTTGCTGGTTTATTTTGGTTATTTGACGTGCAGTTTGACAATGTCATGTTAATGTATATGCAGTTCAATCATCTTGCTGTCCAAATGGATAAAAAAAAATCAAGGATTCGGTGATTGAAGTGCTTATTGAGTTTTGATACAACTTAAACAATTGTTTGAGCCTCACAAAGTTATGTTTTGCGGAAGTATATATGTGAGTCTTCTGAAATTTTTATTTTGTTACAGGTACCTCTGATTATACTAATCCAAGGGTACTCTTTGAGGACTCTTTTGGTCTTATCTACATGTGGTTGCAATGAAACTCCCGTTTAAGAGGCCTTACCTTTCCCATTCTTTTTATTTTTCTGTTTTTAGCCTATTGTTTTCTTATGTAGGAATTAAAAGTTTGAAATAACTAAAATCCACTGTTTTGAAAGTGCAGGATTGTATTTCCAATATGATTTTCCATTGCAATTATTGACGCTATAAATATCAATGTCTCTTAAAATGGCATTTTACGAAGATGAAATTTATTTCTATCTTAATATGGCTGCCATAATCCCCTTTTAAAGTTTAATGCTCCTATGAATGCTTATTCTATAATTTTATTTGTACTAGTATTCCACCCGTGCGTTGCACGGGATGAGAAATTTAGATATTACTCCCTCTGCCCCAATATAAAGAGCACATTTGTGTTTTCAAACATATTTAGGAGGAACACTGTTTGGCACTGTTTTGTTTGCCAAAAAGGGAAATGTTCCTTTAAAGTAAGCTTTCCAAATATGCCAACAAATAATACCAGAGAGATTTTTTTTGTAAATAAATCCACCAGTGTGTTGCTTCCAAATTTGTGCCACCATAACCTCAAAACTTGTTTGATAGAGCAATTAGGGGGAGCAGTGATACCAAATATGCCCATGAAGTAACTCCTAGTTGGTTGCTCATGTTCACAGCAATAGAAAAGATGTTTCATAAAGTCACTTTGACTCTTTGACAAAAGGCACATAGAAGGATGTCGCATCTATTGAAACCTACCCAGCTTATCAGTTATAGGAAGGATACCATTCAAGATCTTCCATTGTAACATTTTTATTTTCATTTTTTGTTAAGGATGTCAACTATGAGCAAAAGAAAAATTTGCAGGCAGACCATTCCTTATCTCTTCAAAAGTAGATCTATAGGAGAAATTTCCATCCTCAGTTGCCTCCCAGTAGATGGCATCACAAGAAGATAACAAAAATAAGAAACCTCTGAGCCTGCAAGTTTTTCTTTGGGGCCGAAAGAAGTTAGTCCAAATAAAATTCCCAGTTTTCCATTTCCATAGTCTGACCCTTGAGTGAGACTCCATCAAGAAGCTTCACACACTTCAATCCCTACCTAACAATTAAGAGTGCCCACATTAGTTTAAACACTGCTAATAGTATAAACATATTATACATTCAAAAAATGAAAGAAAAAAAAGTAACCTGAAAAGATGGAATGTACCTTCTATGGCGATATGTATTCGTAAAAACAAACTATGCTGAATTCCCAAGAAAAAATGTCATAATAGCAAAAAGATCATCAAAACTTCAAGTTCATACATGCTAAAGTTTTATTTGGACTGACTTGTTATTATAAAAGTAGAAAGAAAAAAGTGGACAAATCAATGCACATAGTATTTAGTAGAGAAAGAAATTCAGCTTATATATTGAGGTCCTTTTTCTATAATTTGATATATGCAGTTTTTTTATTAATCACATAATCTTTTAGTTCAAATCATCATATTATGGATTTCATTAATATCTGAGTGAGGTCAAACACAGATGGATTAGAAATGGCTCCAAAACTTGAAATAAAACTTTAATGGAAATGCTTTCAAAATGAAACAAAAAAGGCCTACTGAAACGAATCATAAAGCTTAGTTTAAAGAGCAAAAGGCTTTGATTACTTTTGCATAGGTCATAATCCTATTGCAAGCATATCTGTCATTCTTTCATTTTTCATTTTATGTATAAGAAACATACTACCTCCGTCCCTTGAAACTTTGCCAAGTTTGACCGGCACGGAGATTAATAAAGTAAAAACTGTGTGGTTGAGGTTTGTGCAGAGGAGAGAGAATTAACTGGAACCACAAATTCTTTACTTAAAATAGAAAGTGGCAAAGTTATTGGGACAACCAAAAAAGGAAAGTTGGCAAAGTTTTAAGGGACGGAGGGAGTACTACGTATTTAACAGACGACTTGAAAAACGACATCAATAGCATATATGCACGTCATAACACAAGTGATGTCCTTCAAAAAAAACACAAGTGATGTGTTTCGACACTATAAAGGACGAAGTATAATTAATAGTGTCAATTATTGCGTGTAGTATGATGCTTCATTTTTGAGCAAGCTAAATCCTGATACGAATGGGAGTGATTCCCACTCGTAAACTTATTCACTTAATCTTCTTTCCAACATAATCTTGTTTCCTTATTCACTTACTCGACTTAAAACACTATCAAATTTGATCATTTGTTTTTGTTTGGTAACTTTAGCAAAATTTTAATGTAGTTTCTGAATATGTAAATTTTATTTATTAAAAATAATTTGAATGTTGACTAGATCAATTTGTTTTATCATCGGTCAAATTTCGTAAACCGCAATGAGCGTATCAAATTGGGACATAAATAAAGGAAAGTTTCTCAAATTTGGAGTAAATATGTTTGGGAATCCTTATATAGGATCGTCATGTTTTAATTAATTCCCTAAATAAGAGAAATTATCGAGGAAATTGCCCTAAGTATGAGTAAAAACGTTCTACGATTCCTAAATAAGACTCATGTGTTTATTTGCGAAACATGAGTAATTTCTGTCATGTTTTGGCAGTACTAGACTTTAAATATGACCGTCTTTTTCAAACTCGGCGGTAATTACTCCTTTTTTAGTAATAAAAACATGAGAATCCTATTTTTGAATTTCAAACGTTTTTACTCATTTTTCGGAAATTTTCCCTGATTATCTCCAAACTTGAAAAAATATTATCAAGTTTAAAATTTGTTACTGTTTTTTTAATGAATTCGGGTTTATTAATAACCAATAATTTTCAGAGTATGGGTTAAAAGACAGAAAGAAATCCGACAACCGTTATCCCTCGAACCAGACTCGGAATTAATCGTCGTAGCAATAAAATTCGTTGATCCATAATTGGGAAACAAACAGCCAGAAACGGTCACCCTATTCCTCTCAATCCCCATATCCAAAATCAACGTCTTACAAACATGAACAATAATGAAAAAGCAAATAACAAAACGGGCATAAAAATTACTGGAAAAACAAACGAGACAAATAAAATAAATCTTCTTCAAAACCCTAGATTTGCTTGCCTTCCATGGCGGCGGCTCGGGAGGGGGACGCGTCCGTCGCTCATCCACCATAACCTCAACATCATCTTCATCTAGATCTAGTTCTTCTTCCTCTGCCCCATTCGCCATCCTCTTGCATTTGTCCACAAAACTATCCATGCAAAGCTGTTGCTCTAACCTTTTGCAAGAAACTCCGACCTTGCTCATTGTCGAGACCGAACACCTCGGACACAATTAAAGCAATTCACGAATGCCTTGCTCGAATCAACCAAGACAGATCCCAAAACGATTAGGTCGATGACCCCAATCCCAAAGAAGAAATAAAAACATGATCTGCTATGACGAGATCAGCAACTAACAGACGAAAAATCCAAACTCGCACCACGATCGAACGATCATGGCGGGACAAACGCCCCTAGGCAAACCCTAGGAGGCGGAGCTCTAGAGCTCTCGAAGAGCGGCTCTAGGAAATACTTCGGTGGGTAGTTTTGTTTAATTTATGAAGTTAAATTTGTTACTGTTAAAACACGTGTTTTTCTTTTTAATAAAATATTAGAGTTTTCGTAGTGCAAGATCTCACTTAATCTCACGGTCAACAAAGGGTTAGGACACAATATTCCAAGAATTGACATAGGCCTATTAGGCTAACTACAACCCGTCTCCGTCAATAAATCAAATTTACCAGCATTTTATAGTCGTATTCACTCAGTCAATCAGTTTTTCTCCGCAACCCAGCACCGTCAATAAATTGACCCAGCACAATTTTTTTTAAATAAATGTATAAATCCTTACTTTTATTATCTCACATCAATTAAATGACACTTTTTATACCAATAATTATTATTTAAAAAGTCAAACATTTCAATGTAAAAAAATATTTTTCCCCGTAGGTATTAAAATATGAAACTTTGAGCTTTATTTCAAATAAATTATAGTTTTCAATCAAAATATGCGCTACTATATACGGAGTAGTACATAAAAAGTTTGACATAAAAAGTTTTTTTTTAATATTTCAGCCAGCCAAAGGGCTGGTCTTTTGTTTCACCGAAGAGCAAGCAACAAAATCCAGGACGTCCGCACCACGCTTGCATTAGGACCGCACAAAGCAGATGCAGAAACCTGTCAGCTGGGACCCGCGTCAGAGACAGCTACTCCCTTTCTCCCTTTGCTCAACGTGCAGCGAGTCAATAGCCCCACCCAAGGGAGTGTCTTGCTCCCACTTTAACTTCCCAAATACATGGGTTGCTAAACTTTTTTAGGTGAATAGATTAAATTTGCCTTATTCAACCCTGAGTTGTGGGCAACCTTAGAACATAATTAAACCATATTCGTATTATTTATGTACATTTGTACTTGTACTTATCTCATACATATAACTTCGCATTATCTCCACTACGTATAGCTAAGTAGGTATTTTGTAGTTATCATTATCTTGCTACTTCATACGTGTATATAACCACATTGAGCATTGCTCATCATAGTAATTAATGAGAATATTTCATCTCTTCATGGTATCAAGAGCCCTACTCACAAAAGCATGGTTTTTTCTCTCTACCTACATCTTGTGATCTGCTCCCATGGCCATCACTACGAATAACCATGTTATTTGACGTGCACTTTGTCGTGATGTGCCCTCAAAATAGTAATACAATACAACACTTATACGTAGTATAGCGTAGTAAGGTTCGTATCCGCGGGGAAAGGAATGCTTCTCTTTTTATAACTAGTAATAAGGGGGGTTTTTAGATTTGTTGTTGAAGAACTTTAAAGAATATTAAAACACAAAGATGAACGAGTTATGTGGTTTAATTAATGAGAAGGAGACTTGGTTTTGCTTTTATCCACTTAATGAAATGTTCGTCGATCCCAGTTATATCTTTAATTAACTATCTTCCTCTCGAATACTCAATCGAGGAGTATTTCCACTTCATCGAGGGTAGTTATTAATAACGAGACACGTTCATTAATAAAACTTACTACCGAGTTAATATAGAACACGCGCCGTATATTCACTCGATAGTAGCAATAAAATCAAGATGAAAACGATTGAGATTGATAACCTCAACACAAGCGGTTTATTAGTTTAATCAATATAATTAATTCTCCTTGGTTTATTAACCATGAAACGCTGTGCATTAATAATCCAAGTTTACTACCGTGAAAGGACCGAATTAATAACAAGCGTATTAATCGACCGATTCTAGCAATAATTAATACTCCCTCCGTCCCCTAAAGGTTTGCCATGTTTGACCGACACGTAGAATAATAAAGTAAAAACTGTGTGGTAGAGATTTGTGCAGAGGAGAGAGAAATAACATGAGCCACAAATTGATTGATTAAAATGGAAAGTGGCAAAGTTTTTGGGACAACCAAAAAAGGAAAGTTGGCAAAGTTATAAGGGACGGAGGGAGTATATGAAACAAAACTAGTTGATCCTGTAAGTAATGTTCAAAATATTAATATGAAATATGAATATGAATTAATTAATACTCAAGGAAGAATATTAAAGAAGATGAATCCTACTATAGTTAATATCAAGATGTTAACTAATTGTCATCTTAGTAACACTCCCCAATATTAACATAGAGGAAGAAATAGCTATTACTATAACTAATGTCAAGATGTTAACTAATTGTCATCTTAGTAACACTCCCCAATATTGATATAGAAATAGTATTTAAAGGAAAAATTAATATTCAAGGAAGAAGATTAAAGAAGATAACTCACAACTTACAAATTCATTAAGCTTCAAAGTAGCGAAACCAAGATGGAAGAGTTTAGCTCCTCATTTGGAGACTAAACATGCTATAAAAATATAAAAGAAATACTATTCTAAACTGAGTTTAAGAGTATGGAAGAAGGGATGAATATTTGTGAAGGAAAAGTGTGCTATTTATAGGTGTTTTTCAACGTACACCTTG